AAGTGGTGCAGCTCACCAGTCGTGCTCAACGACGGCCTCGGCGTGTCCCCGATAAGGAGCAGCAGCGCGAGGTGAAAAAGCAAGAGGTCATCGCGCTGGCGCGCAGGGGCCTCCCAGGGAAGGCCGTGCAACACACCTCGAGCGAGGGCTTGGCGCCCGACACGGCGCAGACGGAGGCCACCATGCGGGCAAAGCTCCCCCCGGCACTGGGCCACCAGCGGGACTCCCGCCGCCCCACCGCTCCGCCGGCCAACGAGATCACCGAAGAGGTGGTCGCAAAAGTCATCCGCAGCTTCTCGCTCCGGGTCCATACGGGCACCGTCCCGACTTCTACAATCAGATTGTGAAGGGGGACAGGCCAGGTTGCCCGATCCTCGCCGCAGCGTGCAATCTGCTAGCAGATGGCCGGGCCCTTGGGCAGCTGAGGCCGTTTCTGGGTGGAGCCCGAAGCACGGCCCTCTGGAAGATCGCCAAGGAAGGCACAGAAGATGCCCGACCAGCGTGCTGAGGCCAGGCCATTCGGAGAGCTGTCGGAAAGGCCTTGCTGGCGACAGAGATAGACGCTTTACGGGGTCATCTCGAACCTCTGCAGCTGGCGGTCGTCGTGCGCGCCAGCGCCGAGGCCATGCCGCACTTTGCCCAGCAGTGGAAGCAGGACTGCGAATGCACACAACGAGGTGGACCGACACACGCACCTGAGCACCTGACCCTGATGCGCGAAGTGGCCCCCGGCTTCGTGCGATGGCTCGAGTTCATCTAATTACCCCACGGACGTCCCCACGATGGTGTCCTAGCGAGGTCGCAACATCGACAGCGAAAGCGGTGGGCAGCAAGGATGCCCATTGATTGGCGCCTGCCACGCGATGGTGCGAAGGATGATGTTCGAGTCTCTGGGGCTCGTGCCGGTTCCGACGACCACAGCAGTCCATCTGCCCGTCCCCGAACCTCCTGCGCGTCTGGACACGGCCGTCGCAGGCCCGTCCAATGACGTGCTCCGGGCAATCGCACACCTGAAAGCGGTGATGCCCGCAGACGACCTTCGCTTCTCGACACGGCAAGTGGTCCCGGCCGCTGGGGCTCGGAGCGCGATCGACGCCGCCCCGTTCGTGGAGCTGGGGCGCGTGGTCTTCCAGGGCGGCAACTACGAGGTGCTGGAATCCCCTATCGGAACGGAACAGCACTGCAAAGCCTTCTGCGCGCGCCAGGCCAGGAAGCAGGGAGGCATCCTGTCCTTCCTGGCGGAGCTTGGAGACCCCCAGGTCACGCACTACCTGCTGAAGCAATGCGTCAACGCTGGAAGGATGACCTACCTGGCTCGCACCACCCTGGCTGTGGTGTTGCGGGACGCCGCCGCCCGTTACGACGACGAGGTGGTGGACGCGGCCGCCGCGGCGGTGGGCCAACGTGGAACGGAGCTGCAGAGGAGGCAGGCCGCCTTCGCCACTTCCGCTGCCAGCCAGGCTTGGGCTGAGGCGCATCTCGATGGAGATATACGCTGCGCACGTGGCGTCGCGGGCGGCCACCCACGACCTGTGCGAGCGCATCCGGCCGGGGCGCCTGTGGGACGACGGCGCGCCAGACAAGCCTCTGGCGGACGCCACAGCCAGGTTGGCAGCCAGCTTGGGCCGCGACGCCCTCGGGGTGGCGACCCGGGCGGAGTTGAACCAGGCTGACATGGGAGGTCATATGCGGAGCAAAGCGGCCGAAGCACAGCGCGAGGAGGGCCAGCCAGCCGACGGGGTTCGATCGAGCGCGCACTCAGCGCAGAGGGCGGGAACTCGGTACGAGCTTACCCCATCCAGGACACTGGACATGAATCTTTCCGCGGGCGACTTCGCAGACAACGTCGCGACATTGCTCGGTGTCGATGTGTTAGATGAGGGCAGCGCGTGCCCGCTGTGCGCGGCCCCGCTGGACGCGAAGGGTACGAATTGCCTGTCGTGCGTGAGCGGAGGGGACGCCACGCTTGTGCATAATGCGACCAGAGACGTCTCCTACGACTATTCTGCTGGCGGTGGGCTGCGCCCCAAGCTGGAGGCAGTTGGGTTGCTGGATGACCCTGGGGCACTCGAAACACAACAGGCATCAGACGAGCACCGCCCGGCGGACATGCTGGTGTTCCCCCACATCACCTTAGCACGGTGTCTGCCTGACGGCAGCCGCGCGCGGACACCGTCATGGCGCCGGGGCTCGCGGCCGAGGCCGACGAGCAGAAGCGGAAGCGCAACCGGACGGAGGAGCGATGCCGTGAGCACGGCCTCCGGTTTAGGCGGGTCGCGTCGAGGCCCAAGGCGGCATGTCGAAGGGCGCGGACGCCGCGGTCCGTGCGTTGGCGACGTCGGTGGCGAGCAGAGAGGGCCGGGAGCCGGCCACGGTGCGACGGGAAATGCTTCATCGCATCGCCATCATCGTGGCGAGACGGAGCGCCGCGCGCATAGCGCGCTGGAGGGCGAAGGTGAGCGGGGTTGGTGCCTCGTGAGCGTCAGCGGCCAAGACTACCGTGGGCCGCGGACCACGAGGAGCCCTAGCCCTCTGCTGCTCCCTCTCCTTCCCCCCTCCCTTCCTGGTTATGGGATTGCCCGGCTGTGGAGTTCAGATTTGGGATTGCATCATGCGTTTTAGGGATGTCCATGACTATCAGGAGCCTGAATGGCAGCGCTGCTCTCCCGCCCGCCTGCCTTCCCGGGGGTGTCGCCGTCCCTCCTTCCGCCGTCTGGCGTCGCTCCTCTGCCTGCTCTCCCTCTTGCTCGTCCCTCGGGCCGTCGCCCGGGTTTCGTTTTCCTCTACCCCCCCTCGGCACGGTCGTTCCCTGTCGCTCGCTCTCCTCCCTCCCCCGGCTCCGGGTTCGTCCTGGTCCCCCAGTATCGTTCCCTCCTCTGCCCCGTGGTGCTGTTGCTCTTCCGGGTCGTCCACATCGGGGGCCGCGTGGCGTGCAGGGCGCGCATCGGCAGATTTTCGACATCCCCAGTCCATGGCGTCGGCGACGCTGGCCGATTCGCATCTCCCCCCTTCCTGTCCGAATCGGTGGCCCAAATTTGTCCACGCCCGCTGGACAGTTTCGGATTTGGCGAGTCAGGTTGACACGCTTGGTGTCCTTATCGCTCTCTGACGACTGTTCTGTTGGAAGCTTTGTGGCATCCTCCTCCTCCTCCTCCTCCTCCTCAGAAGAGGAAGGGAGGGAGGGGGAAGGGAGGGACGAGGGATGAAGAAATAGGGGGAGGAGCAATGGAGGAGGCGGAGGAGAACTGGAAAGAGGAGGCAGCCCCTGCGACGCGGGCGGGGCGGGTCCTGCGACTTCTTGGTCGGGATGGTGGTATTTCGCGAGATCAGGCGCGTGAAAACGCCTCGCGGGGCACGGCCAGCGGCGCCGCCCTGCCCAGGACACGATCAGCCAGTGCCCCAGCGCAGTCCAATAGTCCAATCCGGTCGAGCGGGTCCAACCGCCATCAGGCATTCCAGGTGGGGTCCCAGTAGATAGGGTCGAAGGACCGCGCCGCCTCGCTGATGCATCGCAGGTGTATCAGCGATGCATCGGCGACGTCGGCGATGCATCGGCGACGTCGGCGGCGACGCGGCGCAATCCTCCGATCCGATCTGCTCCGCCTCCATTTTATCGGGGATGGACAGACCCCCCTTTAGTAAAACGTGCCCAAACCAGGCGGGCGCAAGCCTGGTAAATGACGGCCGCGGCACCCTCTCGAGAACCGAAAACGGACAATTCACGAATCGACTTGTCAGGGTAGGAAGTCTGTCCACCCCCGATTTTAGAGGCCTGGAGGGATGCTCCTCGCTCCGCGAAGGGAGGCTGAGGGCATTGAAACACCACGGCAACGGGGCGCGCACGCGCGAGAGGGTTGGCGGGCACGGCAACGCCAGTGCAGTCAGGCAGCGTGGTAACCTCAGAAGAGAAAGCATCTCCTTAAACTACGGAGGTCCGCGCAAATTTCTGGGGTCGCCAGCAGGGGCGGTGCCAGAGGCGCTGCCAAGTGAGTCCGGGAGCGATCCGACAAATCCGCGCGGACCTTCAAAACCGTACGTGTATGCCTATTCGGGAGCGGCCAAGAGGGGGGTGTCCAAGAGGGGGGGTGAAAATCATGACCGGCGGCATGTGCGCGGCCCAGCGGGGGGACCAGGGACGTAATGAAATAAGAAGAGGCGCCATGAAACCTTGGGAAATATCATGACCCCCGCCATGATATCCACCCCCCCTGAGTCATCATCCCCCCTCCTTTCCGCCCCCGACCTCTGGTTGCCCGCTTTCGAGAACGGCACGGCAAGTTCGTGTCGTGACGACCTGGGCGCCGCTTCCTGGCACCGCGCGAGGGGTCGCTCCACCCTGAAGCCGCCGCGGCTCTGCGACGGCGCAGAGCCCCTGACAGCGGCGGGCTCGAGGCCACCGGCGGCATGGCAGCCGGGGCCGCCCGCTGCCGCGTCGACGGGGCGCGGACCTGCGGCGGCCTGCGGTCAGGGTTCTGCCACGAGGAGCGGAGGGCCTGCTGGACCTCGGCTGCGCCCAGATCCACGGGGAGGCGCCAAAGAACCCGAAGAACCAATCGAGCCCCCCTCGAAACCCAAGTGGGCCTCGTCCCAGTGTTTGAGGGAAGCCGATCTACGATCACTCAATGAAAAACGATCCCGCCCCCCCCTGGGAAGCCGGCGGGGGGGGGCAGTCCCCCCCTCCCCCCCCCCTCCCCGGGAACCGAAAGGGGGGGGAGGACCCCATCATCCTTGGAAACTGCGGGGGTGATTCTGCACCACACCCGCGGCAAGAAAATGGGGAGGGGGAGCCCGGGGGGTTCTGCACCCCGGCCACCCGGTTCGAACCAGGCGGGGGGGGAGGTTCGAACTGGCTCTAATCGAACCCTGGCAAATATCAATTTACTAAGGCTCGATCCAGCTCCCATGGAATCCTGCAAAGGCTATGTCCAGCTCTCCTACAATCTTACCAAGGCTGGCTCCAGCTCTAACGAAATCCTACAGGGCTCGATCAAACTAGAATGCGATTAGTGCTCGGTTCAACTCTAATAAGACCCTATATAGTCTGGTTGCAAATATTTAAAAACCACAACACGGCCCGGGCCAGCTACAATCGAATCCGGACTGGATTCAGCTGTATAGAAATCCCCCCAAAACACGGTTCGGAGTGGGAGGCTGTTTCACTCCCGATTCGAACCAGAGGGGGGCATGCCAGTAGCGGCAGAAAACGCATTTTCTAATATGTTGACCGCAGGTCACCCGTGGTGACCTATGGTGATGCTTTGCTGTGCGAGGCGGCGACAACGCCCGACAAACCACCACCGTAGGTCAGCTGCCCCTGGTCTGCAGTGTCGGTCGTGAAAGATATGTCCCCGAGTCTTCCGTGGTAACTCATGGGAGCCTCCCATACCATCACGTTGGCTCTTGCAGATCGACGCCGGTCGACGCTAAATCGACGCTGGCCGACGCCAGTCGGCGCTGAATCGGCGCTATCTCATTCGACTACCAGACGCTAATCGACGCCAGTGCAGTCCAAGAACGGAACTGCGAGGGCACGCAAGGCTCCCACGATTTTGCTACCGACCGAGCCCATCTTTGCGCTTCGCCCCCGCGCGACGCGCGAAGCGCGACGGAGCTCCGCGCGCTCGCGCGGGCCCCGCGACGAGCGCGAGGAGCGCGGCCGGTTGCTCCGCAGGGCCCCCGGGCTGCGGAGGCCTTTCCGACGGGGCCGGGCAAGCGGGGTCGCAGGATTCGGGCGGTTCGGGGATGGGGCCGGGAGGGACTGAGCATCGTGCAGCCGATCCCTGTCCCCGCTGGCGCGGCCTGGGCCCCACTGGCCGATTTACCCCCCTGGATGGGGACATCCCCAACTGAGGGGGTGAGATGGTGGGGCTCGGGGGGGTTGGGTAAACGATACTGAGGGGCATCAAGGAATGTACAGGTCAGCCTGGGGTCTCGTATGGGGCCCCATCTAGGACGAAACCAAAACCGGGGCAGAATCGGACTGGGAGAAGTCGGGAATCTTTGAGATGCGGCGGCTCAGAAGGATGCAACGGGCGCCGCGGCCGTTCCAGAGCGCTCCAGAACGCTCTCGATGGATGCGTCCCGGTCCTAAAAAAGCCCCGCCTGGCCACCCCGCAGAGCCTCATCTCTGAACCGTCGAACGATGGCAACGCGTCGCCAGTGCCCCGACACTGCGCCGGCGGTGCCAGGAAGGAAGGCAGTCGGGCTCCCGGTCGCGCAGCATCGCCGATCCGTTCTGCGGTGCAGTGCAATCTAGTGGCCCTGTCTGCTCCAGCGCTGTCCGGGGGGCGCGGATGATAGGGGAGGGGAGGGGGGGCATGTTTTGACGGCGCGCCCACCGGGGAGGTGACAGGAGGCAGGTCTGCTTCAGAAGTCGCCAAGGCTTCTCAAAGCCCTCGCGCCTTCTGAAAAGCCCTGTGGTTTTGAAGAAGGCTTAGACAACTTCTAAGAAGGCCGGGGCCTTCTGAACCATCTAAGATGGCCCGCCCCGCCGCCGAGTTCGTTAGGGAGTATGCTGACCAGCCCAAAACTATGTCAGATACAAAGCTGCCCCAGGAACTGGAGACGAGGGGAGAGAAAAGCAGGGAAGCAGAAAGGCAGCGCAAGCATGGGGCCTGTTACTTCACCAGCGTTTAGGTTTCCTAATTCGCGCGTCGCGCCCTGCGATGCGCCATGCGCAGCCACCTTCGCGCCCTCCCGAAGCCCGCCCGACGAAGGGCAGCTTTTCGGCCGACGCCGCGACGTGCGAAGCATGATATTCATCGCGCCGCGGGGGGGTCCCAGGCTTTGGGGCTGGGGGCTTGGATTTTCCGGTTGGTATTGGATGTGGCTGGAGGAGAGAACGGAAGCTCCAGCACCGATCACTTCCAAAAAAGCGTGTTCATCTCGTGGCCGCGCCGGGATATGGCAAAGCATGGCAAAGTCAACCTTGAACAGCAAGCGCTGAAGTGACAAATCGCGCCTTGGGCCAGAGGTCACCTACATAACTTCCTCCATCGCGCCCCGCGATGCGCGACGCGCTGTCATCTTCGCGCCCTCCGAGGCCCCCTCTGGGGGAATATTGGTCACCCGACGCGCAAAATCTGCGAAGGCAACCGCGAGGACGGCGAAACGTAAACTGGGCGTGCTCTCGTCGGCGGACTCGGAGCGATCGGTCACCTTGCCTGTACACTGTGCAACTTGGCGGCTGCAAAAAATACGCAAACGAGACCTCGAATAGCCGATTTCACAGAGTGTCCTAATTAGCCGCTAGCCGCCAGGAGCGACTTGGACGTGGCCCGCCTCTGCTTGCGTCAGAGGCCGGCCAAAGGCACGCCGGAAACACACGCGCTCTCTGACTGTACAAACCGGCGGGGACATTGCACTGCACAACACCCTCACGGGGCCAGCCACGCGCCTGCGGCCAGCGGCCTCACCGCACTCGCGCCTGGGCGGCCAGCCGCAGCTCGTTCCGAGCGAAGGCCCCCGCGAGCCCCCGGGCGGTCGACAGCTCGGCTTCCAACTCGGGACGGCGCTGCAGCTTGGCCCTCTGCAGCGCGTCGAGGTCGCCGCGGGCCTCCAGCTTGGCGATCTCGCGCAGCGCCTTCTCGTGTCGCCGGACGGCCCTGTCCGCGGCCACGCGGCGCTTCACCTCCTCCTCGTCCTGGGGCGCCATCACCGCGGTCGTCGCCGCCGTGGACGTGTCCGTGGTCTGGCTGCACGCCTCCCACCTCTCCTGTTTTTTCTCCTCGCGCTGCGCCTGCCTCGACTGCCACCTCTCCTGCTTCTCTTCCCACTCGGCACGCTTCGCCTGCCTCTCCGCCTGCCTCTCCTCCCACTCGGCACGCTTCGCCAGCCGCTCGGCCCGGAGCTCGGCCGGCGCCCTGCGCGTGAAGCTCAGGACCTGGCAGTCCTTGGCCGCGTGGCCGGCCCCGCGGCACCGGGTGCACACGAGCACGCCAGCCGACGCCATGGCTGCGGAGGAACGACGGCGCCTTGCCCTGCGGGGCGCTCGCCGGCGCGTGAGGGACTCTTGAGCTCGAGCCAAGGCAGCTCGCAGGCCCGGGTCACGACGTGCGCAGCGCTATCGGTTCCGCGCCTCGTGCCCCTGCCGGCGCGGTCAGGGTCGCCTCTGAACCACCAGAATGGCAGCATGTCCTGGTGGGGCCGCCAAACGGTCAGCTCTGAGCAGGTCTATATCATGGCGCCGGCTTCAGAAGCGGATGGTTCCGAGCGAGTTTCGGCTCCTGATACTCCTGGCGGCTCCCATGTAGAACAGCTCGCGTGCCTAGCCACTGCCCGGTAGAGATCTTCGGGAAGCCCCCCAGGCTCCCCCAAGGGGAAGAGGGGACGGGGGAGCAAAAGTGTTGGCCGTACTTCGGTTTCCGTTCCTATTTTCTCTCGAGAGCGACGAACATGCCCATGCCCGTGCCCTCGCAGTCGGGACACCAAGGCGCGATCCCATGGATGCGCGACCCAATGCAGGGAGCAGAAGAACAGTCAGGTCATCGCTGGGCTCCGAGGGAGCTGCTCGAGTGCCACCAGAGCCACCCTGAGCACTGAACTGACCCATCAGCTGTGAAAGTGCCGCCTCGGAGCAACCACGAGCCAAGGCCTGCATCCTGGGCATCATCTGACGGGACCCGAACGACCCGAACGCTGACCAAACCCTCCTTTGATCCCGAACCGCGGATACCTTCCGCGCGGGGCGTCTGCGCAGGGCCGTCCTCTGCATCCGTGGGGTTCCGCGGCCGAGGAAGTCCGAGCCGCGAGGCCGTGGGGACAAGGACTGGCCTCCGCCGCACGGTTCCCGCGCCGGCTCTGAGGAGCGGCCCCCCGGAAGGAGGGCGGCTCACGGGGCCGCCGCATGCACGGTAACAGCACGCCACGCCGCCCTGCATCTGGCACGCCCGACAGGGGCACGGCGGGGTCGTGACGACCCCTGCGTTGGTTTCGGACACCGCGTGGATCGCTCAACCTTGAGCGATCGGCGGCTTTTCGATCGTCAGATCATTCCATATTGCCCGATCCTGGGCCACTGGCGACTTTCCACCTTGGAACGCCTGCAGCGGAGTCGCCGCCGCTTCGACACGACACGAACCTGCCATACGAAAAAAATGGTACGATGCCCAACAGCAAATGCTGCCCAAAAGCATCAGAGGCCGCCTTGGGGCATGCGCCTGTCTGCCTCCCACGAACAGCGTCCTCGGCGGCACCGACTCCGAGTCCTATGGGCACAAACTGCAGTCGGTCTTTGTCCCCATGATTCCCGTACCCATGTAGATCGTGACGATGCATTATCTGCAGTGGCTTCTGCGCTGCATGCTCTGCCACAGAAACCTCTCCACACAAGATTAGTGAGGCTGGCCATCGCGCCGCCTGGGTCGGCAGCAGAACCACGGGCTCCACCGCGAAGAAGAGTAACACTGATTGCGCTTGTCCAGGCTCCCGCGGCAACATGGCGGCTCCCATAGCGAAGAGAAAGCAGTTCTCATGGCGGGCCCAAGGGCGGATATTGGGATGGTCCATCGGCAGGGATCTCGCCAAAATTGGCTCGCGGTGGGCAGAGAGCGTGGGGACCACACCTCTCGTCCAACATCAGCGGAGTGACCAGTTCCCCTGGGAGCAGGGAAGACGAGGGACGAGGAAGACTAGCGCGGCTGACGACGACGACGACGACGCCGACGCCGACGACGATTTTTTTTTAAGAGCACGACCTTAAACTGCATGGCTAAAGCACGCTGAAAGTGTCAGACAGCAAGGTCACTCCTTTCGCCAGTGGATGGAGGCCTTTGCAAATCTTGTACCAGGGTCCCGCGCAAGGTTTAGCTTTGCCAGTCTTGGGGTCGAGCGGGCGACCTTGACAAATCTCTCCAAGCTTGGGAATACGGGCCCCAGTAGAACAGCATTTACAACGAGTGCACACGACCAAAAGGGAGTCACGACGACGACGACGTGGGCAGCCGCGGAGCTTCGCGGCCGAACGCCAGCCCGCGCCTCCGAGCGTCTCGATACCCAGGGA